CACACACACACACACACACACACACACACACACACACACACACACACACACACACACACACACACACACTTACGCGCGCGCGCACACATACACACACATCACACACACTTACGCGCGCGCGCGCACACACACACACACTCCACCCCCTACCTCCCACCCCCAACCACCCAAAAACAACAAACTCATTATTCACTTACCGTATTTTATACCTACCTACTCTACTTACCTACACACCCTATTTATAAAAAACATAATATCGAGGATATAATAATAATAATTAATATTAACGAATATAATAAGGATGATATTGCTAATCAATACTGAGTGGGTTTTTTGTGACACGATAAACGTTTCACTATAAATTCTGGTTTTCCTTCGAAATTATAATAAAGGAAGATTAATTAAACATATGTAAGACAGGCAGGTAGGAAGCAAGCAAAAAAAAAAATAATAAAAATGTAAGAAAGAAAAGAAAGTAAGAAAGAAGGAAATAACGAACGAACGAACGAACGATATAAAAAGAGTGTAAAAGTTCAACTTGCGGGGGCAAGGAAGCATAACTGGCAAAAGCGGAAGCAGTTCACGGTGACGAGACTTTAGACTGATCTAGGTACTAGCGTTACGATATTGGCCCTGCCCCAGCTTCGAGGCGCCCCAACAATATTATATCACTTACCCTTCGCTATTTTATACTTTGACCGGTGTGGCAGCTGGGGTGCCTGGGGGGGTTATCGGTCGCATTTAGGATAATGCACCACTGTGGCTGACGATGCTGTAGCCGCAAGCGCGCCCTTTTACCCGGTCATTGCCCTAATTCGCGGCACACATCCTTGGGAACTTGACTCTTTTTGGTTGGCCCGTGTCAGGCGGATGTTGTGTGATTTTTGGGTCGATCAATTTATGTTAATAGCGACCCAAAGACGTGTTTTTTTTTAATTATATATAAATATATTATATATTATATTCCTGCGAATATGCATTTTGTGACGTGATGTTATTTAGCACTAACGAGGAGAAACAAATTACAAAAATGGAACTATTGTACGAGATGAAAAATGATAACAAAAGAAACAAACAAGCATTATTGTACGTAAACAACACTATTCACACGAACGTATACATATACGGTTTATGTTTCTCGCGCCACATTGCCACGTGTCAGCTCCACGGCTAAAAACGAACGACAAATTCCTTAAAACGACCAAATTCTTCTTATCGTTGATAATTGCGTTTTTCAAATTTTTCTTTTTAATTATTCACCTTCCAATTGCTTTGCTTTTATTCTATAATTTTTTTTCTTAATTCCCGCGATTTTTTAAAAGTTGCCCCTAATTTTAGTGTGACGTAGTTGAACGTAATGATTATTGATGAATTTAAAAACGATGTTAAAAATGGTTCCTTTTTCGGGCTAGGAGCTTGATTTAAAGTGTCAAAGATTTTTGTGTATGACCAGATGTATTCTACATGTCTCAATAAACAGTTGTATGTGAATTACCTTTCTTAAACAGGTGCTACTTTTATTTCACACCCTCGACATTGTAAATCGCTGGAATAATAGTTTTAAGAATAGCGTTTAATTAGAATAGCTACATTCTTTTACCGTTCATTGTGTTATCTAAGGATATTAAAACACGATTCACGGAATAATTCATTCGTGTTTATATTGTTTTTAGTGCCTTCATCATCTTTTCTATACATCTATGTAGTTGAAAATATGTATATGAAGATTTAATTAAGTATTAGAGGTGGAAATAAATGCTGTGTCTTTCCAAGCTTTGCTTGACATTTATTATTTACATTTGCTACTTAAAAGAATAACCATACAAGTTTTAATCTTTTCTCAGCCACGCATTCCAAGGGAGAGTACGTATAGTTATAAAATCAAATTTCAAAGGAATCTGTGTAAAGGCTCAGAATTCATTTTTCCGCCCAACATTAGACTTTTCTCTTTACACGAAACTACCCCCCAAACATATGTATTTGACCTACTAGCGAAAATGGTTCTCCATTAGTAGGACACGTGAAATATTTTAATGAATTCGCTGAGAGTACGATAAATGTATCGAAATGAATTTACAACCGAGTTTAACAAATATGAAAAGCGTGCATTTAATATTTGATTCGATGTTCTTTTTAGGTTTCGTTGTATCCTCGATGGAATCTCCCACCACGGTACTGCCCACCCTCGAACCAGTGGCGCGCCAGTGGCGCCTTTCGTCCCGATAGTAGGGCGTGTTGGGGTGGCAGTATCTCCGTAGCGCTGACAGAGATTAGGGGTTGCTTAACGTCGCGTATCTATCGTGCCGCTCTGCCACCCTTTTCTCCTCCTCACTTCTCACATTTCCTATTTTCTTCGCACACGTACACACAAGCGCGCACGCACGCACACACACACACACGCGCGCGCGCGTGCAAGCAAGCACATTCGAAGGAACGTACAAATACACACACGCAAAGTCCTTATTTCTCTCTTATTCGCAACGTAAAATTGCGAACAGATGGTGCTGTGTCGATTTCATTTCTACGGTGCGGTCACCTTCGGTATAGCGCGAGCCGTGTTGCCATGAGATTTCGAAAGATTGGTTAACGCGTCGACAAACAGTTTGTGCGCGTATATATTCCACGAGGAATATTATTTCAATAGAGCTGATAACCCTCGACGTTTGTCGTTTGTTTATTTTGTGAGATTCGGTAAACATGATTCTGAGAAATTGCAGTGTAAAGCAAAGTGCGTATTTATAATAAATTCGAGTGCTACGCAGCAGAGGACATTCGAGAATCCTCTCAACGTCATCTCATCGCGTCGTTCGCACTGCAGGTTCATGCAAGACATTGTCAAGTATCGGATAATGTTTCAATCCATCTCGGACTATTCTCCTCTCGAGGTATGTACTCACATGCGTATCGTTACATACCATCTAGGGTTACGGATAGAGTCAGATTTGGTACGCCTCTAACACCCTTTGTATTCTACTAGTATTTCGATTGATACGAATCATGACTTTCGAACAGACAGTTGATACGGTATTTGCACTCGTTTCATCGTCGATCGGTAACTGGACACCTTACAATCTGTATTTTGTCGATTAGAAAGGTTTTCTGGTCAATGTTTGTGCAATATTTCATAATATTCCTATAATAATATAATAAGGGGAATATACGATGCCGCCTTAGTAATATCGTAGAGAACAAAGTATTTTAGTTACCGTGGCAGAAAGTCGACTAGTAGGATACCAGACGGTAAGACAGGTGTTGACAGTCAATATTTTGTTGTCACACATTTCTTACTAATTTTACTTCCTATAGTTTCCTTTTATTAAATCATGTTTAGAAACCTATTATATTATTATACATATTATGTATCTGTATTTTGTTGTGACACATTTCGATTCAACGACACTTTCTACCCCAATTCTTCAACTGTTTTACCGACTTTACTTTCCTTTTATTAAATTATATTTCAAAGGAAGAGAACAACAAAATATCAGTTTATACCTATACAGGGTGTCCCAAAAGTCGGGGAGGAGCCGGAAATGGGGGGTAGCTGAGACGATTCTGAACAACAATTTTCTTTGCAAAAATGTCGGATGGGGCTTCGTTAAGGAGATATTAAGAGAAAACCCCGACCAATCAGAGCGCGCGTAGTCCGTTCGAGCGGCCGCGGTAGCAAAGGCTACGCACTAGGCGGCAGCGTCAATGTCCTTCGATGCACGTCGAGTCACTTGTTCGCGTACAAGCGCGACCGCCAGCGCGTAGAGCCTTCGCTACCGCGGTCGCTCCAACGGTCTACGCGCGCTCTGATTGGTCGGGGTTTTCGCTTAATATCACCTTAACGAAGCCCCATCCGACATTTTTGCAAAGGAAATTGTTGTTTAGAATCGTCTCAGCTACCCCCCATTTCCGGCTCCTTCCCGAGTTTTGCGACACCCTGTATGTATACTATACTAATACATGTACTTGTCGATCAAAATCAAACAACATTTTGCCCTCAAAATGTATAAATTTGAACCCAGCAGGGAGTAGAAATAAATTTAAGACACGTACACGTATCTAGACATATGTGTTCTGTTGAACAGGGAGGGAGGGCGGTGACCCGATATCTACTCTCATTGTTCTCTGTTTTCTCGTTTTTTATTTATTTTATTTTTTATTTTTTTTTGCTTTTTGCTTTTTTATTTTTTTATTTTTTTATTTTTTATTTTTTTGTTTTTTATTTTATATTTTTTATTTTTTATTTTTTATTTTTTATTTGAGAAAACTTTAAAGGTGTATAAAAACCGAACGAATAGAGTTCGTTCTAAAAGTGGTCCACTTGCGCGTTCAGACGAAGGGGGTTGAACATCACTCGTAAGATTGTACATCGGTCGTATAACCGGAGGTGTGGCGAGTCGTATTGTTCCTAAATCGTCGACAATTTATGCAATTTGTGACACGCGTTTTATCTATTTATGAACGAGTTGCGAAATCGTTTATTTCCCTGTAACACTGCCACGTTGGTTGGACGAGTTGAACTCTATCGTATTTTGAACAGAAGCTTTAAAGAATTAGATAACTGTTGAGAGTATTTGATAGAAAACAAAGATTTCGTTTGTAGAGATGTTCGAAATTGGAATCACGCGTGGACGTAGGGGGAGGTTAGTCTGTTGTAACTCAGTGGCGTACAATAAGGGTGTGCACAGACTCTTCAGAGTAGATATGGGTAAAAGTTTTGTACTTAAATAAAAATTTGTATAAAACTTGGTTGGCATAACTTTTAATGGAACAGATGTTGAGACAAATTCCTGTACAGAGATAAATAGCAGTTTATTCTTTCTTATTAGGGATTGAAATGAATTCTGGGCCTTGGTATAAATGTATTCCAATGTCCATCGGCTCGCGATTCGACTTGATACTTGATACTCTGCGATAATCCGGTTGAGGAATTTAAAAGGTTTATGCGTTCGAAAAAAAAAAAAAGGACAAGTAATAAATATATGTACACGTTTAATCTTTAAACTTGTAAAGAATCAAATACGAGCACAGAGTTAATTTCTGTACGTGTAATATACGGGGTATAAAGTGCAGGATTAACCCAGGTCTGGAAGGGCGCTGGAATCGCTGATTACGCCATTGTCGTTAGTGCAGAAACCGTCGTTTATCGCTGGAGGCGCTGCTATTGACCATCTTTCTATCCTTCTCCAAACTCAGGGGTGCGGTTCTAAACTCGACGAGCTTTTTTCCCTCTTTTACTTTAACCGTAACATTCCGTTGCATCGTGTCGCAGCAACGGGAACAACAAATAGAATACTTCTGCCAACGTTACAACATCGTATTACATAACGAAGGATCTCGTAAGATGAAACGAGCACGGTTCGAGGGTGTGGCAAATTACAACGAACGGCACGTGTCTGTTGTCGACTTGTAATACTGTTTCCTTCCACGTTTGCGCGATATTTTCCTCGAACCCTTTTATATGGATCCATCTGTTTGCGAGTCCTTGGCACACTAAAACCAGTGTACAGGGTGAACGTACCATTGAAGGCAATTTAAATTATAAATACAAGTTTTTGATTGCAATCGTGCAGACCTCGATCCGTCAGATCGCGCTCCCAATACACAGACATGATCGTTATTTGATAAATAAATTGTCCTTGGTGTCACGATGTTAAAATTGGACGAATAAATCGCGTTGATTTTCTCAAGACTTTAACAATCGATCTAAAAGTTTCTCCTAGAATTCGATTAATTTCGAAGATAATTGCGGCTCGAGTTTTACTTTTAGTTTTACTTTTAGTTTTACTTTTAGTTTTAGTTTTAGTTTTAGTTTTAGTTTTAGTTTTAGTTTTAGTTTTAGTCTTAGTCTTAGTCTTAGTCTTAGTCTTAGTCTTAGTCTTAGTCTTAGTCTTAGTCTTAGTCTTAGTCTTAGTTTTAGTTTTAGTTTTAGTTTTAGTGAGTGACACAAGGCGTGTAGCAGCAGTGATCTAAAGGATCTGACGCGTGTGTTTACAGATGATCTTCAGGATCGATTTTTCGTGTTCTTCCTGTGCGTGGAATAGAGACTGACGATATGGTAAAGTCCCTGTTGTCACTATTTACATTCTACCTAGGATTACTCAGGGTGATGCGTGAATTTGATGAAAGTTTAACCGAAATGTGTATTTTCTTAGGATGCAGTATGGCTTCGGTACTCTGGCATGCTTCTGGGAATAGTTTCGTTTCTCCCGCCTTTATCTTGTTCCTGCTGCTTTGTCCTCGCAACAGTACAGGTAAGTGAAACGATTAATACCTTCTCTCTCTTTCCATTTCCCTCTTATCCTTTCATCGAACAGACTCCAACTTTTTTAATCACAGGACACTTTTCGCCTCGGAATATATTTATCGAACACTTGCGAGGGAAAGCGGTATAAGTTAAGTAAAATAATTATTTATCGCTTCGATAGTCAAGTTTCGTTGAAACTCGTAATTTATTTCGACCAAGATACATATCCTTTATTGAATACAAATTTGGATAGATAGTTTTCGTTGAAAGGTACATGATCGTAACGTAATAGGGTAAGGTGACGAGTAAGGTAAAACAATTAATTGCGTAATCATTGGGAATGTCTTTATAATTAATACCTAAATAATTTTAAAGCAGAGCTGGGCCTTCCATTAAATTGTTGAATTAATTACTGCTCCAACAAAGTCATTTCTCCGTCGATCGTTGTCCTATATTTTCATTATAATAATTTTGCCCAATTTCTGGCTAAATTAAACGGTCGCGTTCCCACCTTCCGAGACACAGTCGTGTAACAGAAATTACGTTTGCGTTTCCACGATATATTTGCGCGGATGTTGAAACGAGTTTGATTCGAGGGAGTTGTCGAGTAACGGATTTCATACAAAGGCGTATTTGGCCCTGTATAGCGAAGACGCGCGCATTTCTAACTTACAGCTGGAGAACGAGGACTATGATTACTGAGAAAAGTTTACAAGCACGGAAATTCAGATATATTTGCAGATAGATCGAGAATTTTCGAGAAATTTCAAAGGAAAGTAATGTTTCATCTTTTAGTTTTAGATTATTGAAGAGTTTCTTTTTGCGTTTGATTTTAGAGTGTGATCAAAAGTTTATAAGCACTACTAATGGTCCACCGAATGGAACTTTTCACGCTCCGATGTTGATCAATCCCGATGGAGACTCCAGACAGTGCGTGTACACGTTTTTTGCCTGTCCAGGCGAGCGAGTTGAATTGTTTTTCACCTCGTTTGGTCTGCGGGGGACTCCTCCAGGGTGAGTTTGTCCCTCGAGCCCGATGGATATGGCTAACGATATACCAACGGGTATCGCGGGTGGTACACAACCAATTTGATTAAATTGAGAAATTTGGCTCGATATACTTGATTAATTTGCAACAATTTTGAACAATAATTAACGTCAGTTTATACAATTTTATACAGTTTTATAGTTACGGAGGGAGCTACCGTATCAATTTGATCGAAATTGGAGTCTGGCACCAGTGTACCCCTCCCCTTGCAAGGGCTCCCTCAGATTATCGACGTTCCTCGCACGAGAGTTTGCTCGATGACCGGCCTTTTACCGAAATCCCATAGGCCTATGTGGAAGCATGCATATCTGATCGATCAACATCCAACTAAGCATTTTTTATGGATGAATTTCTTTTTTATTTTTTTGTTCTTCTTCTTTTTCCTTTTGCTTTTTCTTGTTTGTTTTGTAAATTTAACTGAAATTCAAATCTTACATCGTTACCTGATCCATCTCTAATTATTTACTCGTGTTCAACAGGGGATCTGCCGTTGGAGAATTACCAGCGTAAGTGTCGATACCGATTATACGATTTACCTAAAACATATAGTTTTAAATTTGACGACGATGAACATCGTTTCCAGCTGCTTTCACGAATATATTGACTTGTACGCGGAAATACGGACGGAAAGTACTACCAAGTTGATAGACACACCTTTTGGAGGACGCTTCTGCGGTCCGATTCCACCACGCAGGCGCGTTTCCCTTTATCAAGGAATCGCCCTTAGCTTCTACACCGATAGAAATATCACATTACCTACCCTCTTCAGCGGTATCTACAGGTTTATCAATGCCTGTACGTACAGGTTTCCTTGTTTACTCTATTTTAATAGGAAATTATAATAAGGAAATGAATATAAAACCAAATAAGCCACGACACGATAGTATAAGAAAAGTTTGAACGTTATTTGCAGCTGAATACGAGGTGGGAACACCTGCTCCTAGCACCCCATGCTCTTTTACGGTAAACTCGACGCACAAAAGTAACGGTAGCATACTGTCTCCAACGTATCCAGGCACATATCCGAAGGATCTCGTTTGTAGTTATCAGTTTATCGGGAAAAGTAACCAAAGAGTACGGCTGGAGTTTCGAGACTTTGACTTGTTCTTCGGTGGTCCACAGTATGTATAAACGCATACATACTCTATTAACACAAGTTTATTCGAAAGCCAGTGCACGTCCATTCTTCAGCTTGTCAATTTCTGATTAACGCAATGTTCTCGATGACAGTTGCCCGTTGGATTACGTCAAGGTGTACGACGGTCTGGACAATACGTCCGCCGTGATCGGTACGTACTGCGGCCAGCAACGAAACCTAGTATTATATTCGTCCGAGTCCAGCCTGTTTGTGCTGTTCGCGACCATCCAGCGCACCGCCAACACCCAGAATCGCGGGTTCAAGGGGATCTTTGAGTTCTCGGAAAGTTTCGTCAAGTTAGGTGAGTCGTAACGTTCGCAAGTAGTTGATTGTAGATACTTTTTCCCGCTGTTCACCTTTGGTTACCGTTAATGTGTACACATGTGCATACACGTGTATCCTGCGCGTGCGTACGCGTACGTGACACGCTCGTCTCTGTCTACTCAGACTTCATAACCGCTTACAAGGGCGAGCATATCCGTGGATCGGAATGCGATCAGAAGATTTTAAGCAAAAAGGAGTCGTCGGGGGACGTCGTTAGCCCGAACTTTCCCTATCCTTACATACCGAAGGTCGTCTGTCGGTATTTCGTTTATGGGATGCAGGACGCGCAGCACCTTGAGCGCGTTCGATTAGAATTCACGACGTTCAACATACCAAAGAATAAAAGCACGGGAGAGTAAGTGTATTCGATATTCAATGAGAGAGTGCGCCACCAGGCTGTGCTTGATCCTAGAAAGACTAAACTCCAACAAGAGGACTCGTACACTTTGAAATAAATCGAAGAATTAGCCCAAGAACCAAGATATCCTAGTTCCTTTAGCCTTTAGTCTTTCGAGGATTAACTATTCCCTCGCGTACAAGTCATCTCCATCTACCGATGGAGACTCCATGCGTATTATTTTCCATGTCTTTTACAGCTCGTCGTGCACCGATGGATACTTGAAGTTGTACTTGAAAGGCCAAGAAGCAACGGATTCCTACGACAAATTCGATCACGAATTGTGCGGTTTAAAGAGCAATCCCACTCATGTAGTTAGCGATGGTCCTAGACTCGTTATGGTGTTTAGCAGTGGCGAATCGCAGGGCCAGGGTTTTAAAGCACGGTAAATGTCTAGATACGAGTAAAAGCGTTCGATAGCACAGCGATGTAAACTGACACTTTGATGTAAACTGACACAGGTACAGCTTCGAGACGGAATACAAAATACCAGGCACCGCGGCTCCAGATGGTAGCTGTACATTTACATACCGCAGTTCCTCCCGCAAAAAGGGAGACTTTAATTCTCCACGACATCCTAGCAATTATCCAAGCGACACAAACTGCACGTATTACTTTTTGGCGACGCCCAACGAACAAGTTACCTTGATATTCGATAATTTTAAAGTCAGGACGAAAAACACGAACGTGACAGCCGGCTACTACGGGTAAGAAGGAGTCAGTCGAGGCTGTTGCTAGACAACTCGGTCGAACGTACGGTCGTAACGCATGAGATCCATCGGTGCTTGCGTTTTCAGGCTCGACATTTGCCAGGACGACTGGCTAGAGATATACAACATGTACCGAGACAAGACGGAAAAATTGATAGGCAGATACTGTGGCACCACTGCTCCAGGTCCAGTGGAATCGAATCTGGGTGCTCTAGGTCTAAGGGTGATTCTACACTCGGACTCGGAGCTCGTTTACAGCGGCTTCAAGGCTCGGTACACGTTCGAGGTGGCCAAACCCATATTCGGAGGTATCGATGCGCGAACGACCTTACTAAAAATCAACGGAACGACCGAACTATTATTTTACGTTGCAGATTGCGGTTCGAACATAAGTAGCTTAAATTACGGGATTATCGCCAGTCCGAATTTCCCTAACAAATACGACGGACCCGAGAGGAACCACGCCAGCAAGACTTGCAATTGGTTTATAAGAGTTGGACCGAATCAGAGAATACTATTAAACTTTGAAGAGTTCTCCGTGGAGGGTGATCAGACAGGTACACATCGATCAACTTGACAAAAATACATCTATCAGAAGCACAAGAGTACATACATAAAGAGGAAATATCTGTGTAATTTCTTCAGCTCGTGGTTGCCCAGCTGCGGTGCTGCGCATGTGGTATTCCGCTTTGTCGACGCCAGTCGAGCTTTGCGGGGTTAAAACGGCGAACGTCAATTGGACTTACCTCTCCGAGGATAATAACATGCGTCTTAGGTTCGTTGTTCGCTCCTTCCTCTTTCACCCTTCAACGAGAACCCTCTCCAAGCGTCCTCGTGTTATTTGTTTGTTACGCGCTTTTCGAGCTAGAGTCACCGTTGCATCGTCGAAAGAGAACGCATTGATCACCTCTGTTGCTTTTTCTTTCTTGTCTTTTTTCAGCTTTATACTGGCCGACAAAGCGGTTGGACAGCAAGGGTTCAGAGCTACGTGGACCGAAGTAAGCACGAACACTGACTGCCAGAATCAGTTTAGCTGCAGTAAAAGTAGATACTGCATTGCAGAATCGCTTCGGTGTAATAACATTTATAATTGCGGCCCGGCTGATACTTCGGACGAGGAAAACTGTAAGTTTCGTAAACGTTAGAAACATCGAGAACGGCTCCTTATAAGCAGTGTGGTTGGTTTCTTCTTCTTCCTGTTTCTCCTGTTTCTTATTTTACTTTGCTTTTACGATTGTTATATACATACAT